GATCATGTGATACACATCGATCAACAATGCTTAGTTGAATTTTCAATCGACGATTAGCTACAGGAGCAATTTTTGTGTGATGTGGTTCTGATGGACGAATGTCACATTCTGTTAGGACGACCATGACAATTCGACCGGAAAACTCAGCACTATGGCATTAAGAACACATACACATTTAAGAAGGATGGGTAGTGCATCATGTTATTACTTGTTATGAATGCGAAGGGTGTCATCGATACAGATGATTTGTTAGTTTCACGAGCCGCCTTCCTACAGTCAGTTTGAGACTCACCTATCGCCGAGAGGGAAATACCTACGTATCTACAACCGCTTCTACACAACATCAAGGACGTAATGATCAACAGCCTTTCAGACGGGTTTCCACCACTAAGGGACACCCAATACACCATAAATCTCATCTCAGGATCGGTGTTGCCAAACCGCCCCCCGTTTACAGATTGCGACCCACCGAGTACGAGCTCTAACATCTGGTGTGGGATCTTGTTTACAGGAGGATTATTCTGAGAAAGCACCAATCCATGTGTTATCCCCGCCTTTATAGTACTTAAGAAAGATGGTTCATGGCAGATGTGCATTGACAGCTGTGCCATTAAAAAAATTACCATTAAATATTGGTTTCCTATACCACGCCTCGAAGATCTCTTAGATCATTTCTACGGAGCCACCGTCTTCTCAAAAATTGACTTGCGCATTGGATATCATCACATAATTGTGCGACCAGGAGATGAGTAGAAGACCGCCTTCAAGACGCAAAATGGTCTATACAACATATATGCCTTTCGGCTTGTCTAACGCACCTAACACTCTCATGCGGTTGATGAATCAAGTCTTTCGAGCCCAGAATGTGAGGTTTGTGTTGGTGTATTTCGATGATATTTTGGTTTATACTAAATAAAAAGAGGACAACCTGCAAAACCTTTGAGCGATATTTGAGGTCTTACAAGCTGAACAATTGTACCCCCCCGAATGTCACATTCAAGTATATTTTTTAGGCTTAATCGTGTGTAACACAGTCATTCAAATTGACCCAAATAAGATCTAGGCAATCGTAAGCTGGACCGCGCCACAATCATTCTCTGAGCTATGACAATTTTAGGGGCTAGCTTACTACCGAAGATTTGTCTGAAACTTATGCACCATCACTGTCCTACTTACAAAACTGTTGAAAAGAAAGGAATTCACTTGGACAGCCACAGCCTAGACTTGCTTCTACATATTAAAGGAGAATGTGACTCAAGCACCAGTTATTGCCTTTCCGAATTTCAACTAACCATTCAAGGTTTAGTGTGATGCATCCAACGTGGGGATTGGCGTTGTACTAAGGGCCCGTTTGGGGCAGCTTATTTGGTGAGGTGGCATTCTGAAAACACACCTGACCTGTTTGGGTAAACTGCGTTTTGGCAGCTTTTGCATTGTCAAAACGCAGAAACAACGTTTTCACACCGCACCTATCTAAGTGTGGTAGCAACTTATTGGCAACGGTCTGATTTTTCCAAAAAAATAAAAATTTGTAATAGTCACCGCACCTAGCTTATCAACAGAATATTTTTAATCAGCTTACCAGCAGATTATTCAATAAGCTACAGCTGCCCCAGACATACCCTAAGTCAACGTGGACACTCCATTCCTTTTTTTAGCGAAAAATTAAATAATACTAGACGAAAATATTCCACCTACGACAAGGAGTTTTATGTCATTGTCGCAGCTCTGAAGCACTGGAATCATTACCTATTGACAACTGAGTTCATACTCTTCATAAATCATGAAGCTTTAAAATTTTTAAATAGTCAGACCAAACTAAAAATGCTACACGTCACTTAGGTGGAATTTTTAGCTTCCTTCCAGTTCATGCTGAAACACAAAAGCCGGAAGTTAGAACCACTTCGCGGATGTGCTAAGCCGTCGTCACCTACTGATAACATCCATGAAAACTCTTATTGTAGGCTTTGAAATTAGTAAAGACTTATACGAGACAGATGAAGACTTTTTTAAAATCTCACGAGAGATGTGGACGACTACTCTTTTCACCAAACGGACGACTACTTGTTCCACCAAAATAAACTATGCATTCCTCGATGCTCACTGCGAGAGGCCATCGTTCAGGAGAACCACAGTGGCAAATTGGTTTGTCAGTTTGGCACAGATAAGACTCTTGCACTTGTGAGAACACTTTTTTTGGCCTCGCCGGACGAGAGATGTGGAGTGACATGTCTTACTGTGTGGGATTTGCCATTTCGTCAAAACCCGTGGGCAGAATATGAGATTGTACATGCTTTTACCGGTACCTGAGGGCCATGGTTTGATGTCAGCATAGACTTTGTGGTAAGACTTTCACGCGCACAAAGGAACAAGGACTCTGTAATTGTAGTAATTGACCGTTTCTCAAATATGTTGCATTTCGTATTCTGTCATCAGACACTAGATGCATCTCATATTGTCGATTTGTACTTCCGCAAGATCATACGACTTTACGGAATTCTCAGGATTATCACTTTCGACAGAGGCATCAAATTTCTTAGCCACTTCTTGGGCAAATTAGGCACTAAACTTCAATTCAGCCTTCCAGCACATCCTCAAACAGATGACCAAACCGAAGTAGTTAATCAGAGCCTTGGGAATATTTTTCGATGCTTTGTGGGGAAAAATATCAAACAATGGGATCTTATTCTTGCACAAGCCGAATTCGACTACAACCGATCAACGAGCTAGATCACAGGACACTCCATTTGAAATTTTGTACGGGCGCAACCGGTCACACCCCTTGAGTTGGTCCCACTTCTATGCACATCAAAGATTCGTGGGGATGCTAACGAATGTGTTCACCAGATTCAACAACTCCGAGGAGGTAGGGAAGACAATTACGAAACAGAACCGTAAGTATCAAGCGCAAGCAAGCAAGTCCCTGAAAAAGGTAACATTTCAAGAAGGAGACCTCGTATGGATTCGAATAAAAGAGTGATTTCCCGTAGGAGTTTACTACAAATTGAAGCGTTAAATTGATGGACCTTTTTGCGTATTTAAGAAGCTAAACGACAACGCCTACAAAAATTGACCTACCAGGAAGCTCTAAAATTTCAGCAACATTTATGTCGCGAATCTCACTCCATACTTCAAGGATTTTGAAGCTTCGATGCATTAGGTTGAAGCTTCCCCAACCTCGTTGTGGTTCGGCCCGACACATACCAGTCCAGCCTCCTTGTTGGACTGAACCATCCTGATTGACCCTATGGGAGCGGAAACTTCCCTCCTCATCTCATGCCTTAATTCCTCCCCTTTCTAATTGGACTGAATTTCAAATTCTTGCCTATTCCTTTCACTCTCTTTTAATTCTTACTTGTTTCTCTACCTGCCTAGTGTAGCCCCTGCTTCCATCTATTTATAATTGTTTTATATTGATCACTAAACATTTTTGGTCATTTTCTGATTTTAGGTGTGTCGTCTCGGTGTTCCTTTCTAGAGGGTTATATATGACTGTGAGCGGTGTTACGACTATACCTCACCCAAGGTGGTGTGCATCTCCACTCTATTCCTTCTTCCCCTGTCCGTCACTGTCTCCTGCATCTACCCAAAGAAGCCGCTGGTTCCGTTCCTTTCTCGCCTTAGCCGAACGCAGTCTTGTTGAACTGCCACAGATAGACCGCTACTCCCCTTAAGGATCGACTCTGATGTTTGCAGATCCTGCCAGTGCCACAGACGTGTTGTTGGTTCCCTCCCTGTTCGTCCCTGCTGTTTGCAGACTCGCTAGCGTCGCACCATAGCTTAGATTAGTTGCACAACTCCTCTGATCGGTCATTCAATTACAGCTTTGCTCCTTTCTATGGGCTGCCCCTACACCCTCCGGTTGGTCAACACCATTCGAGTGTCTTTTCTACCACTTTCTGGTTCCCACTTTGACGTCTCCCACTGATTGTCTGCCTCCAGCTCAGTCTAGCGACTCTGACTGCTTCCTACGGACTTACCGGATTCGAAGTCACCTCCGCAGCATTTTGCACTCACCAGAACTACCACACCTGTTCGAGAGGGTTGTTTCTCTCTTCTATTATTTATGTTTGTTTTTTTTTCTGCAATTGACATTATCCTTATCTGTGTTAAATGTTGTTGTTGCGTCGTCCTTGTTCCCCTTTTGAAAATCAATAATAAAATTGTATCATTTGTGTCGTGGTTTTTTTTTGGAAGTTGCATTTTGCATTAAAATAAAATAAAAAAAGTACAAATGAGAGCTATAACGTTACACGAAAGAACCAGCATGGTTGACATCTTTCTCAACCACACTCAAAATATTGAGTTCACAACTGTGGGCTTCCCATAAGAAAAACCTATCTAAAGCGAGCCTAGCACAACAATGAGCCACCCTGTGTTTGTGTCGTGGTTCGGTTTAAGTCCAGTATCACTATTACTCACACTGCTCTCTCTCGTTCTCCATCCTCTCTCTTCGATTGTTTTGTTTTACCCTCTACTTGTAGCACGAGATTGCTTATTTGTGTGCTTGACAGTGTGCTTCAACTCCCTCTCTTTCTTCTCCCTCTTTGCCTCTAATTCATTTCGGGAGGAACCAAACAGCTTATGAATTAAAAAAGGCGTTACAAAAACATTATTTGTTAATAAGAGAAAACCTATAGGGCGAAGTAGCACGTTGGTTGGTGTTGCAATGAAGAGAAGCAAGAAGGCATTTGCAGCGCCTTATAAGGTTGTGCTCTGTATAAAAAGACTAACAATTGGCTTTTTAAGCATAAGATGATGAATATGTGAACTTTTGCATGAAGTTCACAAGTGGAGAAATAATGCATATAATAGTAGACCTGACTTCTTACTAGCAGTTAAAGTCAATGAGGCTCAAGCGTTGTGGCCCAGGACTATGTTGGATTAGGTAGCGGACTGTTTCATATTTTTATTTATTATTTATTCTTTAAGCTATATGTTACAATTCCGGCATTATCAAAAAGAAATGCTTGTTTACTAATAGCTTACTAATTTAATAGGGTATTGCTGATACTATGGCGCTGCTTCAAGCTGAGGGTCGGTTGCTTCGTGGTGAACATAATCTTTTAGGGGAAGCATTTCTCGTTATGGCGTCCTCTGCTGGGTACATTACTGTATCTATTCTCATTTGTTCCGTCTGATCACACTCTCCTTCTTTTCTTTTCCGCTAAACCTGTACTTTTTACGAAAAGCTTTCCTATTCTAACCTATTTTGAAACTTGATTGCCTTCTAGAATTCAGCAACAGCAAGAGGTGCTGTCCTGGTTACTTGAGCCCCTGAGCAAACAATGGATCCAGTTGGAATGGCAAAATGCTTATTTATCGGACCCATTAGGTCTGAAACAGTTGTGCTCAGATCCACAATTTATGTGGAACATTTTTCATACAGTAACCTTTTTTGAAAAAGCCCTTAAAAGGAGTGGATATAATAAAGCTAACTGGAACCCTCATGATTCGCCATCAATAGCAGATGGTTCCAATTGTCGTCATCCTATGTCTTTTCATCTGGCATGGATGTTGCCTCCTTTGTTCAGAGTAAGTACCGAGTAAATAAATATATAACTCTAAACCCTTGTTTAAGAATGTCATTTTAATAAGATTTTAAAATAATTTTTAATCCACTGTCGCAGTTTATTATTTAGTTTTTGTGAATTATTCTCCATCTATACTCCGCAGCTCCTTCGAATCATTCATTCCCTTTGGTCTCCAACAATAGCTCAAGCTTTAACAGTAGAACTAATAGGAGCCAAATATATGAGCCAAGTTGAGCAGGCTAGCCTACTCGGGGAGAGCGGTTTGAAATTGCCAAAAGGTCAGCTGACACATGCTGATGGATCTCAAATTGATATGCACAGGGAGGAAGATCCTAATGAAAATGACATTAGAAACTGGTTGAAGGGTATCAGAGATAGTGGGTATGCTTTTAATGTTTTTAATTTTTTACATAGATATATATTTTTTTTAAAGTTTGGGGCATTTACATACATACGGCCCAATTCTTATGTATTTACATATCTAATGCCTAAACTTTACTGTTTACATTTATACCACCTAAATCTTTCATATCACTTAAAAAATACCACCACTTTTACTATTAAAAAGGGTAATACGCCATTTCATGCATAGGTAGGATGGAATGTATGTAAAAATTGAAGTTTAGGTGTTAGATGTGTAAATGCATAAAAATTGAGTGGTATGCATGTAAATCTTCCGTAAAAGTTTTTTGTATTCCTTCCAAGTGACTGCAATCTCTCAAATGGGCTAGTTTATATTGAGGTGGTTCTGATGGTTCTTAACGGGGTGATTTTTGATTCATTGTTGGTCTTGTGAACGTTATTGAGAAATTCAGTTGTGGGATCTTCCATCCACAATTCTACAATACTCGGGGGATTATTTAGCAACAAAAGTAAAAATAGATGATAAATTTTGCCTTTAGGCATCATCATATATGAGATATAAAATCATTTTTAATTTAGTCCCTTGAGCTATTATCTATACGAGAGAGCTTGCCTTTAAACTTGAATAATGAAGTTAGGGAAGCTAATTCAATAATTTCATTTTCTTTGCTTTAGTTGATTTTTGGATTTAGAAGTTCCAAATTTTACAAGCCGGCATATTTAAGCCCAAACAAACCTTTCCTGAATAGACGCCCGAGTTGTTGTTGATTGGAAACTTTTGTTAACTTGAGATTTTCTGTGCTGTATGTGTTTTTTGTATGTTTCAGCAATATCTGTTAAGCTTTTTGAAACTTTAACCTAACATTTATCTAAATTTCCTGTTTGTCGCTGCATAATAAACACCAATATGTCTTGTATGACTTCAGGTATAATGTTATAGGCCTTTCAGCAAATATTGGAGATTGCTTTTTCCGTGGCTTTGACTGTTCTATTCTCACCATGGCACTCATGGAGAATGTACAATCAATGGACTTTAGACACATTCGTCAACTGATTCACTTAGTACTTGTCCCTATAGTGAAGTTATGCCCTGCAGATTTGAGAGTTCAATGGCTGGAAAACTTGCTTCATCCATTGTTCCTCCACTGTCAGCAGGCTCTTTCTTACTCATGGTCTAGTTTCATGCACGAAGGTAGAGCAAAGGTTCCCGACACATTTATTAGCCTTCCTGACATTGAGCTGAAGTTAGAGGTAATGGAAGAGAAGTTACTTCGTGATTTGACTCGGGAAATATGTAATCTTTTATTGGTTTTAGCTTCACCGGCTCTAAATTCTGGGCTGCCTTCTTTGGAACAACTTGGAAATGTAAACCGTACCGAATCATCTTCGCTCAATTCATTGGATGCATTCTCTACAAATTCTATAATGGGGTATTGTGTTGATAACCAAACCTTGCTTTCTTTTGCTTATAATGTTTTTTTTTTTTTGGAGAAATTTACATACATAGCACACAATTTTTATGTATTTACTTATCTAATATCCAAAATTTCATATTTACGCTTATAGCACTTTGGTTTTATAAACCTCTGCATGAAAATGCGTATTTCACTTTTAAGAAGATAGTGTTGGTGCTTTTTCTGATGTGATGTAAAAATTTGAGTGCTATGCATATAAATATGAATTTTTAGTTGTTAGATACGTGAATGCATAAGAATTGTGTGTTATGTATGTAAATACTCCTTAATTTTGTTTGGAGTGATTCAAGTCACCCTATCGAACTAAGCCTTTAGTGTATTGCTTCACTTATAGATTTCTCTTGACGCATAAAAGCCTTGCTCTTCCAGCCTTGAGAATATGTATTGAAGCGTTCACTTGGACTGATGGAGAAGCTGTTGCTAAGGTTGCGTCCTTCTGTGAAGCTGTTATCCTTCTTGCTATATCAACAGATAATGTGGAACTCAGGGAGTTTGTTGTGAAGGATTTATTCTATGCCATTCTTCAAGCTCTTTTCCTTGAATCAAATGCAGTAATCAGTTCAGATCTTGTTGGTCTTTGTCGTGAAATATATGTTTATTTGTCGCACAGAGATTCTTCTCCAAGGCAGGTCAGTTGAGAATAATCAATTTTTTTGTTTGAACTTCTGAACATGTAAAATTTGCAAGTTTGCTTATTGAGTAGACGTTTTCTTGGTGCTAAAAGCTTATTTTTCTTATCAGATTCTGCTATCCCTTCCTTTTCTTACAGAGGGGGATTTAGTTGCTTTTGAAGATGCTCTGAGTAAAACTAGTAGCCCAAAAGAGCAAAAGCTGCTTATGAGAAGTTTGCTTCAGTTGGCTACTGGAAACAAGTTGAGAGCTCTTGCTTGTCAAAAGAGCACAAGCATCATAACCAATGTTACAGGTATGTGTTTTGTCCATCCTTTAAGAATTAAGTCTAAAATGTAATTTATCCATAACTTTCCTAACATGAAATTGTGAAATGCAGCTGATTTAATAGTTCTCTCTCTCTCTTTGTTTTTTTTTTTTTTTGGAAAACTCCTCACCAGAATTTTTAGTGATCCACAAGTTTGTCTTGGATGTTTTGACCCTGTGCTGCTTAGGCATAATCCATGGCAATAAAAGCACGTGGAAGTGCCAGTGGAGATGATAGAATGACCAATATGGTCTGAAGGGAATTTTACCTGCAGGCTAATGATTTTATTTGGCATGGACATCGTCATTGTCTCTTTATAATTCTACCCAACCTTTCTTGTCCACTTTTTCTTGTTGGCAATCACATTGTGTTCTGGATCTATTTAATCTAAGCATTGGGACAATCAATTGAGACTCGGCTATTTGGACTTAATTTTTAATTTGCTACTTAGGCTTAACCCACCCATTGGTCTGTTACTCGAATGTGTTCACTGCACAGAGAGAGAGAGAGAGACGAAGGTAGGGAGGGAGTTCCGCTCGTCAGTAGGTAGTGACTCTTGTGACTAAGAGCTTTCACGATCGCATAGAACTCTTTGTCGTACATTGAATATTTCTCCTTGACTCATTCAATTTCTCACTGAAGAATGTTGTTGACTCTTTCAATTTCTCACTGAAGAATGTTATGGGGTGATCTACCTGGCTTAGTACTACTCCGATCCCCACATTGGAGGCATCACGCTCAACCTCAAACAGCTGATTGAAATTTAGTAATGCCAAAATTGGTGTTCTTTCAGGGGAGCAGTAGATGTATTGAAATTCCTTATGAATCGTTTGTAGAATGATGTTAGCCCAAAAAACTCTCAGCTCGGTGAAAGGCTTAGGTGCAATCTAGCTCACAATGCTCTCGATCTTTGTAGGATCCATCTAAATGTCGCTCTAGACAAATATAGCCGAAAAGCATGATTATTTTGTCAGGAAGTGACATTTCTTTGGATGAACATGTAGTTTTTTTTATTGCAAAACCTTGATGACCGCCTTCAGGTGTTGTAAGTGCTCCTTGAATCTGTTGTATGCTAGAATATCATTGAAATACACTAATATGAACTTCCCAATGTGAGCTTGAAACCCCTGATTCATCAACCTCATGAATGTGCTTGGAACATTAAACAAAGCCGAAAAGCATGATTATCCTCTCATATAATCCATCCCGAGTCTTGAAAGCGGTCTTTCACTCGTCCCCTGACCTGATTTGGATCTGGTGGTACCCGCTGCTTAAGTTGACCTTGGAAAAGACAATAGCTTTGTGCAACTGGTCCAAGATATCATCTAGGCGAGGTATTTGGAACTGATATTTGATAGTAATCTTGTCAATGGCCTTACTGTCAATGCACATCCATCTTCAATCTGTCTCATTTTCTTTTGACATAGTAGTATTGTGCTTCTGCTCTACCAAATGCATTTACTATTACTGTACTGTATGCTTATGATTTATGATTTTACTGAATTTTGTTTATATTGTAAGAATGATTTGTATGCTCAACTTTGTTTAATTTATCATTGAATCATGCGCTAGAATATTGATTGCTATGAAATTGAAAAATAAATATTTATTATTCAAGAGTAATATTTTTAGTGCTTGTATGTGTATGCATAACTATGATGGAGTCACCTCTTTATGGTCCTAGTGGGGGAACACTAAAGTAGTATATGAAAAAGGATATTAATATTGATGTGCTTTAATTGATATAATTTTTTATGATGCTCATGTGATGGTTGTATTGATATAGAATGATATTCATATGATATTGATATTGTAAGATTCATTGATATCATCTCAAATGTTAATATTGATTTATTAAAAGTTTAATTGGCATGTATTTTACCTTTATTTTTTCCTTGTACTATTGTAGTTTAGAAATATGAGTATCCAATGCTTTGTTTAGCTCATTATTTTGTTTAAACCAAATTTTCAGATTAATTCAATTGATTAAATATGAGCGTTAGAATACATAACATTTATAGAAAACGTTGACCAGTAATGAGATAATTTTAAATGTATGTTGTTTTAATTTAATCTATTATGACCAGTGATTCTTTCATCTTTTAAATAGTAATTGAATATAGAAAATTTTAAATTCACACCGTCCGACCATCTGTTACTATCTTGGTTAATTTCAATTCTCGGGTCTGTTTGTGACAAAAGTAGCTATCGAAGACCAAGGTTTGTGATTAATTAATGAAAGAGCCAATAATGTAATTAATAATAATAAATTAAAAAATTTAAACTTAACTAAAATTAATAAATATATATTCAGGCATAGTAATACACCCGAAGTTATAGAAGAAGTGAATCGATAGGAAATTTATGGATAGTTAATGTTGACATGGTTAATAAGATGTCATTTGGGGTCTATTTATAAATTTTAAGGACAAAATTTTTGTAAGTGGGGAAGGTTGTAACTTCTCGTTTTATTACCCGGGGTAGAATAATTGAAGGGTTGATCATGAGAGAAGGCGAAGCGCGAAGTCAGGCAAATGAAGAGCCAAAGAAGAGGAATCGAGAAGCTCGGGAAGCTGAAGAGGAGAGAGATGCGATAAGGTCGGGAAACCAAACGGGTAGGTTTGCTTATACATTTGTCGTGAGGGAGGTAGGAACTCACCAGGAGAGTCGAATGGTGGCGTCGAGGGTTGCACTGTTAGGGTTAAGCCTCGACGTTTACAGAGAGATGGAGTTGGAGGAGGTGGAGCCGTTGTTGCACAGAGGAGGTTAGTGCGGAAGTTCCTATGCATTTGAAGGAGAAAGGGGAAGAGGCGGCGCTGACGTCATTGTCGAGTCACGATAGAAATAGAAAAGGACGTTGCATAAGAGCTCTCGTGTGAAGAAAAGAAGCTCTCATACGTAGAGAATTGGTGGATGGAGGAGGGTTGGCTTCTTGATAGTTGTTGGAAGGTTGAGGCTGACGGCTTGGGGATAAGTTGTAGGGGTCAAGAAGGCTGGTAGTGGGGTTTCAGCTGGGAGAGGCTGGTAGTGGGGTTATGACAAGGAGGAAGGGACAATAGCAGACTGAGGTGAGAGAGAGAGGGAAATTTGGAGATAATTACCACCTTGGAGCAGGATACAACTGAAGCACCATCCCTCCAGTTAGCCGTAACAAGGGGAAAACGACATCGACGACAGAAATCTGAAAAACAAAAATGAACTCTAACACAAGAATATATATATATATATATATATAATTTTTTTTTTTGAAAAAAGCCCAAAGGCTAATTTATTAAAAAATGGAAAAGATACAGAAATGTTGTATGAGAGAGCTTAAAATCTCACCTCACACAAAACAAAACACACAAAATCCAAATAAAACAAAAATGCATAAAGATAAAAAACCAAAAAGCCACCAAAGAGCGCAAAATTACTAGGGACGTCCCACTTTCCTCCCTCTGCCTCTAGTTCTGGGAATTGAGTCTGCTAACAAATTAGTAAGGTGAGTGTCATTGCCCGAAGTAACCAAAGTATCATCCATCAGATTCCTGAGCTCAAGTAGGTCTCCATTCTTCTTCTTCCTCGATGTGTAGACCTGTCATTCCTCATCCGATGATTGACTCATTTGATCAATAGATTGTTTCAAAGTTGGTTGGACATGTGTAGGCTGTTGCGCATGATCCCCATGATCCTGAGTGACAGTTACAGCTTGCTTGACTTGATGAAGCAGTAGTGAAACAGTAGAAGTATTGCAACCTGTAATAAGGGTGATAGGTTCTAGGGCAAGTGGGGCTGAAGAATCTTCTCACCCATGATAGGAGGTTCCAGAGGCAGTTGAATGGTTGTAAAATTGTCTGCGAGAAGAGTGACGTCTTCTAGGACATTCTTTTGATAATCAATATTGTCAATAACTTGGAGTTGATCAGGAGGAGATGAAATCACTGTCTCTGGCGGAGCATTGTGATTTTTTGGTCTGAGGTGTGGATCTAGATGGTGATATTGAGAACTGGAGTGGCCGAACATACGACAGTTTGAACAATACAAACGAAAATGCTCAATCACTATCTTTTACAAATACCCATGATGTTGTGTGTCCAACCAAATTTCCTCAGAAGCAGATAAAGTGATGTCTCTTTCAACAAGTACTCTGGCTTCTGATGGACGGGAAAGATTAAATGTAGAAATTTCTGTTTTGAGTGGCTTACCATAAGCTGAGGCAATAGCGTACAAAATTTTTTGAGTAAAATAATGAAAATTCATATCAGGGAGGCGAATCCAAACCGAAATGATCGGAGGTTTCGTCTGAGGGTCAAAATCTAGGTCAAAATCTACTGACCATTTGAGAATTTTCATTGTTCTGTTATCAATCCAGATTATTCCTCTAACAAATAAAGGCATGTAATCCTCTTCATTATTAATTTGTATAAGAGTGTGTCTTTCATCTAACAGTCCAATTTTTCACTCCCCAACTAGGTGAATAAGCTCAAATTCCTTACGAATTAGCTCCATTTTTGGATGACCATACATAAATTTCTCAATTAAATTCAGTCGACAAGAGGAGCGACAAGAGGAGGCAAGTTGAATACCTTCAGCTTCTGTAAAAAAAATGACAGGTTTCCCATTCTTCCTTCCAGGTTTCTTGATATCTTCCTCCCACTCAAACGAAGGAGGGAAAAAACACAATTTAGGTGTACCTGAGGCGGCGTTGACACCCGCAAGAGCAGCAGCATACGATCTATTCGAAGCCATCCCCAATAGATGGAGGTGTGGCGTTAAGAACACTGAACAGAGCAAAGAAGAGCAAAGTCAGAATCCAGAAAGTCCAGGGAGCAGAAGCGGAAACCCCGCAAATTCAGCAAAAGTCTCAGGGACGCAGAAGACGACACCTTCGCGAAACAGCACAGAAGCAGACGACGCCCTTACGGCGGAGCAGTGCGCAGAAGCGGCGACAGGACGACGAAGGAGACGCAACCTAACAAACGTAGATTGTCGAATCCAAATCGGCAGAA